GTAGGAAACTCAAAGCATATAACTTGTCTAGCATTTTGTTAGATTACCACTTCATTAGTTTCTTAGGAAAATAATATGTATCCATTTACATCCGCTCCTGTTTAATGTTTGTTGCTGCCATTGATTTCGAATCTATGGGTCATGACCATTTATGGAAAATAATTGCTTAATTTTTTGCTTCTTCCCTTAGATTAAATTTAATGTAGGTTATATTTGATTGGTTTATTTGAGTAAAGCCCACAAACCTTATAACCCCCTCCTTTATTCTTAAAAGAGGCTGTATTTTGCTTTTAAATCTGAATAAATCGCTCACTCGCCAATAATTTATGACTGCCTGATGACATGCATTGACACACATCAAAACAAACTGCAATTGTGTAGCGATTTTGACATGTTTTTCAATATAATATCCTAAAATTAAAGCATATTGCTATTTTGAGCACTCTTAAATTAAATGTTGGAATTGTACTCTACTCATTCTCATTTATATATAAATTTAATGTGTATGTGTTCATATTTCTCTCTTACTGGCTGATATGCATAAAAGTAGTTATTTTGAAATATAAGTTAAAAGAAAACAAAGATTTTGTGTTAATTTTTTTTTTTAAATAGACTGCCATTATAGTAGAACTTTCTATTACTTGGGTTCAAGACTACTTCAAAAATTGCTTTTCACTTTTTATAAAAAGTGAATTCAAATGTAATATCAATTTGCCTATTCAGAACTCCATATAGGAAAAAACAATTTTCCGATCAAGGAGTGTTTGAGCTAACTTTGAGATTCTATCAACACATAAAAACTGGATTTTAACTTGATAAGTAGTTGCCTCCTAAAAAAAGCATTTGACTCCTTCAAAGTGTTGGGTTAGTTGGATTTGTTCATTTCCTATCACCAAGCTATCAGAATGTATAAATATGACAAGAAATTTAATTTATGTGAAAAGGTGTTAATAAGTTCTTGGCCTAACCAAGAATAGATTCTGAAAAAAAATTGTCATATTTAGGGAACTTTTTAAAGGTGCACAAGGTAACCGAGGACAAATAACATGAAAACAAAAATATTAAAAACCAGTATATTTTCAAAAACATCTTTACACATGCTCAATTTAGAAAAGCAAATAGTTTTTTGAAAAAACTACTCTCATCCTTGATGTGGCCTCACATGTGACTAAGCCTAGATCAGGTGGTTCTCATATAAGTTATCATATTTGCAATGATAACCTTCACCGAGAACTTGGTATTGTTGGACTTCACCAAGACCTTGGTATGAAGTGGATTCAAATTAGGAGAGTTAGGTCACATTTTGGGGTGATGATCATGAACATACTTGGCCAGCTACTCCCAAGTCACTTGGGCCATGTGGAAATGAGCCTGCTGGAACATCAGCCAACCTTTCATCCACGGCTTGATCAGTATGTATAGCACTTGTGACATTGATCCTAAGGCCATTTGATTAGTGGGATGGCATGAGATGGCCCCCTTTGCTCACAAAACCCAAGACTGTCATAGATAATGTGAACTTTGTATGAATCATTGATGCTACCTCTGAGAGGTCTGTACAGAGCTACCTGTAATTCTTGTTCATCATCTGGTTCTCTTTGAAGTTCTCATTGGTGAAGAACCAGAGCATGTTGGGCTCCTCAAAGTTTGAGCTTTTTCAGTAAGCACTTAGATTAGCTTGCGTTTCTTTTCTGGGTCTTGTTAACATGATGTACCTTCTCTTCATCATATATCACTTGCATGCATGATGGTGGACTTCACCACTTTGAGCTGTTTGGTGATAACCATCATTGATAGGATTGTTGCTTATAATGGGCCTGCTACACAAACTCAACTATCCATGCATCTGACTGCTAAGTATGTTTCTCTCTCTCTTTGCTATGGATGAGTTATTCTCTCCAGAGGTCTCCAGCTCATTCCTGACCTCGAACATGAAGGACCTGACTATCTCCAAGTCACTGTGGTTATCAGCTGGTGCCATAAGCATAGTGTGCTTTTTCATTTTCTGTGAAAGACTGGTAGCTAACATGCTAATGCTTTTGATAAATCTGACAGAAATGGGAATATTAAAATTCAATGCATCCCATGTGTTTTTTTTTTTTTTTTTTTTTTACTACCATTTATGGCCTGCTAAAGGTATGTACTCAGGCTGCAATATATTAACTTGTAATATTTATTATATGATGGTTTTAATATAGCTGATGGAATGTAGGTACTTCCAAAGATTCACTAAAAAAATGAGTATACCATGATGAAAAAATGCTTCAAACTTAATAAAAACAAAGTTCTATCATCAAAATCTTTCTTTTTATTAAGAGGAAAGACCAAAGAATTTTTTGATTATTAAATTATATTTTTTTTTTTTTTTTTACAAAACTTTCAGTACTTACTCACAAATGAATAAAATTATTTTAGAAATGCTTCTTTTTTATAAAAACATTTTTTACATCTGCTACCTGTCACATTTAATTTTAAGAAATTAATTTTTTTAGCGCAAGATATTTATATTAATTATACACAGAATTCCTTGGAGAACTTTTTTGTAAAATAGGACTGCCAGTTACAGAAAAATAGTAAAATAAAAAATGCAGTAAACCTAAAACATTATGTAAATAGAAAAGCTTTTAATTGTCTTTATGAATAAGATATATTACAGACACTATTGTCTTAAGAAAAAATTATTTCTGATGAATAATGAATTTTTACAAGAATTGTTTGCATTTAAAAAATTTTTTTAATTAGAATAATTTATAAAGTACTGAAATCTTAAAATTCTGTATTAATATCACCAATTAGGTGATATTGTTAAGTAAAAACTATTTTTATTAATCACAAATGGAAAAGCTTACTAAAATTCAGCGACATTCCATCCACTAATATTTTAAAAGAATTTTAATTTTTTTATTTTATTTTATTTATTTATGATTTTTTTTTTCTTGAGTGTATAAACGTGTCGATTTTTGTAAAAATGGACGTCCACATTATCAGAAAATAAGAGTGATTTAAATTTAAAGCCAAAGTACCTAAAATTCAATAAAACATTTGGTTATGGATGATATTTTCCTAACTTTTTAAGATTACCGGGTAGTTAAAATATAAAAAAAGGCGTTTATGTTATATTCCTGAAGTAATTTTTACAGATATATCCACCGTAGAAAAAAAAATTGAATAATTTCCGTCTGTCAGTCAAGACGTCAACACTTTATAAACAGTTACCTCTATGTTAAAAAAATGCGATAAACTATAAAGTAATGTTTCAAATCAGATTTTAACTTTAAATCAACTAATATTCCTCAAATAAAGTTTCAGAAAAAGTATATTTTATTTTTGAATGATGTTTTAATAAAGAGAATTACATTATGACAGATGATTTAAAAAAAAAAATAAGTGTTAGTTAAAATCAGCGATTTCAAAACAAAATCAATCAAAATCAATCAATTTAATTTAAAATAAATTGAACAACAAAGTATTTTGCTTATTGGATATATTAACATTTTTACTAAAAGTAAAATAAAAAGCTTCAAGAAAGATTTCCCATTTAAAAAAAATCCTTTTGAAACCTTTCGCGTTTCTGTGGTGGTAACTAAATGGAATGTAAAAATAGTTTAAAAAAAACAATTGGTAGTGAATAAAGTTTATTTGTGTCTCAGCTACGGCCTGGCCAACATTTGGTCTTTCCTAGACTTAACGTAAACATTTTTTTTTGTTGTTTCTATCAAGTTTGGGGCGTTCTTCAGCGTAAAAGTGGAGGTACATAAAAAAAATAAGCCTGATTATTTTTCCAAAAATAGCACTAAAAATTTGTGTAAATCTACCGCAATCTTACTTGGGTCCCGGGTACAGCATTGCCGCCCTTATGGAATTACTGTGCGCTGGCCTCCTCGATTATTGCGCGTAAGTATACTCATTTGATTGCATGTATTTTTTTTAATTATCCAGATTCCTGACTGAGGCAGCCAAGCTGTACCCGGAACCCAAATAAGATTGTCAATCAATAATTTTTGTAATAGTCATGCTTTTTTATGTACTTCCTTCCACTGTTACGCTGAAATATTGCCCCAAACTTAATAAAACAAAGTTTTAAAGTCAAAATGTTTGTTATTATTAAGAAGAGGAAAGACCAAATGTTGGTCGGGCTGTCTGTAGGGTAGCCGAGATACAGAAAAAGAAAGACCTAACTAAGATTGTCGATATCTTCTAAAAACGGTAAGTTTCTGCAAATTTTTAATCCTGTTTTTGGAATATTGATGCTTTTTTACATCAGAAATGATGCATCTTTTTTTAAATTGGTTTCTTGGTCATAATCTGCAATTTTACCGTTTGTTTTAGTGTGGTACAGGGAATGGAGCTCCAATGAAATTTGCAGCTGTTACTCTAGCATTTTTTTTTTTTTTTTTTTTGTGTCACATAAAAAAAAAAAAAAAAATTCACGAGTCGTTGAGTACACATTATGTATAACAATTTTCTAAAATTTGAAATATTGTATACTTCAGAAAATCTTTTAAAAAGGTGTTTTTACTAATAAATTATTCTGGAATTGTTTTCTTTTATAATTGGAGTTGTTTTGAAGCGTATCCTGTATCGGACTTGTAGAAGAACTATTTTGGCCTTACACCGTTAGATGAAAAATTCCCAAAAGAAGGTGGGATGTAGCGTGATTTTTGTTAGATATTATCAGAAATTTGCTACTTTTAACATCGCTTTTATTTTATTTTAAAGACAGTCTTAATGTTCCTCTCTTTTTCATCGAATCATGTTCAATTATAAATATCAAACGAACACAAAAAATTGGATTCGGATATTAACTTTCCCATAATACACCCACTTTTAATTTTGGAAGACTTTGTGTAAGGAAAAAACGAATGAGAGAGGAAAAACTTTTAAAATAATTTGATTACTTAAAGATTTTTTTTAATTGAGGAGGAAAGTTTCTCGCTTTTAATGCTGCCATCGATTGATAAAAATTTTAAGTGATATTTTGTAAAATTCCACTTTATCAGGAAGTGTTGGTAAGTTGAACAAACAATTTGTATTTTTAAGGAAAAACACGTACTTGAAGGTTCCTTTCAGTTTTAAAAGCAAATGACATTTTCTTGGATCTACTTTTCGTTTTTGCAGGATATAATTGTATTTTTTTTTCCAGGAAAAAATTCTGTCTATCCGGAATATTCATTAGGAAATTTTTTTTATTAATAATCTCTGCTACTTTACAAAAATATAGAACTAAAAAAGTATGTGAATTAAAATTTCTTAATTTATTTTTAATTTAAACACTTAGAGCTCCGTTTTTATGATTTCTTGAGGGGGAATTTTTCAATTTAACCAAAAACAAACGACTTAATTTTTTTCAGCCGTATGCTACGAAATTCCGATGGCTAGGTATTCAATTCAAAAATGTTAATTTAACATTCAAGTTCATTCGTCGATCATAAATGTTTATCAAAAAAAAAAAAGTTTCACTTTTAGAACTTCGATACATACGAACAGATAGATACACACGTACACAACATCGGAAAGTGGCAAAAAGCACATAAAACTTGTATAAAATTAAAAGTTAATTAAATAATCTTAGTCATTTATTTGTTAGAAAAAAAAAAATGGAGACAATTTTTGTTTGATAAAATCGCATTCAATGATTAGAACCGTAGATATTTGAGTTTGAAAAATTGTTTACTTTTTTAATGTGTGCGTGAGTGTGTTAAAAAAAAAAGGTAAATTTGCTGATAATGCCCCAGTGACTAATAAAATGCATTATTCCTGGTGTTAACCCCCCAAACACACAAAAAAAAAATTTATTTTAAAATCCTGATTGTTACAAAAATAGCAATACAAATTGAGGAAGAAATACTGTTATCTTAGTCGGGTTCCGGGTATAGCCTGGCCTCTACTGTTTATCTGAAGCAATATGTTGCTCAATTTATGTTCCTGAAAGTTAGATTTCTGACCGAGGCGGCCAAGGTTTTACCCGGGACCTAAGATTGTCAATATTTTCTAAACGGTAGAGTTTCCTCAATTTTTATTGCTATTTTTGTAATAATCAGGCTTTTTTTTTTTTTTTTTTTTTTTAACACCAGAATGCATTATTTTTTTTTTTTTTTTTTAAGTGGTCACTGGGGCATCTGCAAATTTGCAAAAAAAATTTTTTTAAGTATAAACAATTTTATTTTTTAACTTAAAAAAACATAAAAATAAAAACTGATGTATTTGTAAATCAATTGCAAGAGAAAATAAACATCAAATTTTTAAAATCTACCAAAAATCAACCAATTATGTGATTTTTTGAATATAAAATTTTCTTCGATACTTTACGCTGGGGTAATGGATAACGGCTTGGAGTGAGGAAACGAAGAGCCGATTTCGAATTCCAATCGAATCCATTTTTTACATTATATGCTAATAATACCCTTTTTGGGGGGGGGAGGTATGAATCCTTTTCTCTCTCAGCTATGGGAAAATAACAGGACAGACCGGGATATATAGCTTTGGGTGGCAACTAGTCTTGCAGAAAGAAATGGTAACCTACTACACTACAGGAAAAAAAATCTGCCTCGTCAGTCATGTATCGAAAGTTACATAATCGCCTAAGCGTGTATCACGCATGGCACATAACTGTCTGATACGAATGAAATTGAATAAATTTATTTTGAAAAGAATATTTTGTAAGAACTTGAAGAAAAGAAACAATTTTGTTTTTTAGTCAAAGAAAATCCTAAATCACAAGCATCTTATAAAAAAACAAATGAATGGACAACGAAAGACTCGAGAGAAAAAAAAGTATTGAGAAAATAATACATGCAATAAAGTACATATTGGTATTAGGACGAGCAAAAGATGAATTTGAGAAGGATAGGTAATTTGGCGATAACAAGCAGAACTGTTAGTTAAATTGTTAATGTTAAATCTTTTTCTGTTTCTTCTTAAACTTGTTATATTGTTAATTTTTTCTTTCATTTTAACTTTTAAGTAGTACTCGAACAGCTTTTAATAATAAAAATAAATGTAGTTCTTCTAGTTTAAAAGAATACGTTTGGAAGTAAATAAAAAAAAAAAAAAATCCAACGTTGGATTTTGTTTACTTAAAATTTTGAAATAGTACGCTAGTTTCGAGAGAAAGAGAAATCCAGTTAAAAAATGTATTTGCTAAGAACAATTTTAAAAAGAAGTCAGTATAAAAAAAGTAATTTTTTTTCGATTTTGCAAAACAATCATCCAGCTTGTCCGATGTTTTTTGAAAAATATTTGTCGAAAATAATTTATAACGAATTTGGAACTAAAAAAATGTAAGCAAAGGAAGTTAGGGTTATTTATTTATTTTTTTTTTTTATCTGAGCACTCACAAAACATTTAATCTTAAAAAAAAAAAAAAAAAAAATTAAAAATTACCAACGAATGTTTTCAGCAATGCAGAGTTTTCCTTTGATCTCTTGCTTATTCATTCAAGATTCAATTTCTCTTGAGCTAACAACATGCAATCTTACGCTAAATGCTGATCCGACTCTGTGAGTGAATTATTTTTACAATCGAAAACCCCTTCGGATGTTATTTTTGATTATTTTTTTTTTTTTTTTTAACAATTTCTTCCATAACTGTCCTGTTAACACATCTCTAATTAAGTAAATATTTGTTCTTTGGTTGCTTATCCGGCGCGGGGACACTCTTTCTTTATTTTCACCCCCAATTTTTTTTTTTTTTTTTTTTTTTTTTTTTTTTAAATGTTCAGATGCTCGAAACTAAAAACGTGAACTTTTTTTTTTTGTATGCCTAGGGTTAGCGACTACTAGGACTATGGAAATAACAAGGGTAGACCACCACGAGTTAAAGTGTAAATTTAAAAACGTGACATTAGTCATGAGAGTGTGCTGTTTTTTATTTTTTTTTTTTATTTTTCATGATTTTTGAAATTATTTTTACCCGGTTTCATCTAATTAACATATCCTCTGTATTTAAAAAAAAAAAAAAAAAAAATTCTTCCGTGCTGTTCTATTATCCTTCAAATTTTTACAGAAAAACAAAACTTGCCTAGCTTTCTTCATGTTTTTGCTTCTACACACGTTTTGCAAAAGCAACAAATGGATTAAAAATTTTTGTAGAAAAAAAATCTTTCTTGTAACAAACACTGCATGTATAGATTTTTTTTCCGTACAATTAAAAGTACTTTAACATCCTACTTATGTAGAACTTTAAAGATTTATTTTTTCGTATCTCAACTTCTTGGGTATTATTGCCGAATAGACGAGTGCTGATTGATTCAACGCCCTAAAAATGATCTTTGCAATCCAAACACTGCATTACCTCTCTTCCGTTTCATTCAGCTTATTTTCGTTCTTTAAAGTTCTAGTTTTTATCTCGTGTTGAATGTTCCGTTTGATAAGTCGGCTTCAAATCGGTTATATTTTAAAACACAAGGTTTGTTCAACAAGGACATGTTTGAAAGTCTGCCGAAATTAAATAAGATTATAAAAATATTGCTTCAAAATAGTGTGTATAAAAAAGAAAAAAAAAGTAACTCCTAGACATTTACTTCACTTCAGTTATTTTAATTTTTTTTTTAAAAGTTATTGAAATTCTGTGTTATAATTATTTTTCTACTACATAATTGATCTATGAAGTTGGAATTTTCCATGTTGAAACAAATACTTACATTTTTAATTTAAATTAAAATATTGCAACACTAACACAGTGGGTCATTTTATGAAATGTTAACAGAACTACTACTCTCGATCCTAAGAATTATTTGAGGAATATAATTTTAATTACCCAGTCTTAAAAATTTAGGAACATATTTTGAGTAATAGTAATAATCTAATATTTTATTTAATTTTACGTTCTTTGGCTTTATAGTAGGTATCTTGACTAAAAATTGCTAAAAGAAGAGCATACCATGATGAAAAAATGCTTCAAACTTGATAAAACAGTTTTTGTCAAAATCCTTAAGACAAGAGGAAAAGCCACATATTTTTTTATTATTTATATTTTAAATCTGTATAATGTCAAAATTTTGTTTGTGGGGTGGGGAGAACCAAAGATTAGTAGGGAATTGCATCTTTTTTGCAGTGAAATGTACATTGAAAAAAAAATTTTTGCAAAATTAAATTGTCAGATTTTGAAACTTTCAAGATTTATTCACAGATGAATGAAATAATTTTAGAAGTTTTTAAAAAATATTTTTTATGAAATTTCAAGGAGCTCATTTTTGTAGAGCTTGAGCACAAGTCCTTGAAAAATTGAAATCATTTTTATTTTTTTTATATATCAAACAGGATCCCCAGTTACAGAAAATCTGTCCTGAATTGTAAAAAAAATATAAAGTAAAACTAAGACAATTAGAAAAGCTTTTAAAAACGTTCAAAAAGGATTAAAAAATAAAATTGAATAATTAAAAATCATTTGATTTTTTCCTCTTAACAATAACAAAGATTTTGATGATAAAATTTTGGTTTTATTAAGTTTGGGGCACTTTTTTTCATCATGTATGCTCATTTTTAGTGAATCTTTGGACATACCTATATTTTTAACTTCTAAATGCTACAAATATAGTGTATTTTTGATTATTTAGCCTGTTGATATAGTATAACTCTAAAACTATGTAGTTTCACTACAAAATTTCTTTATTTAAACTCATATTCTGAGTCTTCCCTTGAATTTGAAATCATGCAGCTGGAATAAAATAAGAAGTCCAAAAAGTAATATTTATTTTATTCCTTTTTTTTTTTCCAGTGAATAAAAATGCATGTGTAAGTCAGATTGAAAGGGTTAATATATTTTACATTTTGTAGAATAAATAAGGGATGTGTGGGTAGTGTAATGGTTATTGGTCCTGGGAGTGGAATTGGTGAACCAAATTCAAATGTTTGCCTGGTCTTTTATTTGCTTTTTCACCAATGCCCTTGTGAAAGGTATCAATCTATTTCTTTCTTCAGCTATGGGTTAAATAGCATGGTAAAATGGATTTCTGTTTTTTCCTGAAATATTAAATATTGAAATATTTATCATTTTCATTTCTTTTACT